CAGAGCAAGTAAGCAGCCTGTGGCCAGCCTTTGATCCTCCAGCAATTGCTTGGCTTTCCCAAGCCACGCCTGCTGCTCACTTGAAGCTTTTGAGGCCATGGCAGTGGGCTGGAAGAGAAGCACTTGTCTGGGGAAGAAGCTGGGCACATTGCTGACTCCCTCTGCTAGCATTCCAAGTTTCCCTGTGCCTTCTCCAGGTGCCCGGCGTGGTGAGGTACATCCACCAGTGGCTCATGGCCAATGAGGCTGCTGAGCACAGGATGGATTGGGCCCTGATGCAAGTGGCCGAGGCAGAGCCCGATGATGTGGCCATCACTCTCCTGCGGGTGGCCCCAATGTGTGACAGGTATGGGGCCCAGCTGCCCCGAGGCCTCAGGGCTCCCCAGCCCATCACCCTGTACAGCCCGGCCCAGGGCTGTGAGCAACACAGACTTCCAGGGCCCTCTGGCTGCTCCCTTTGCCAGCCCTGCTACAAAGTCGGCCCCCGAGCCCGCTGCCGTGCTGCCAGCCTGCCCCTCAGGGGCCTGTCCCCACAGGGCTGGGCTGCCTGGCTGCTGCTGCCGCTCAGGGGCAGTGGGCACAGGCAGAGCTGGCGGCCAGCTCAGCTCCCCGCTGCTGCCCAGCCCACGGTGCTATGTCTGACCCCGCAGAGCTGCTATGGCCATGTGGACGACCATCTTGCTCTCGCCCTGGATTTCAGAGGAAGTGACACCGCTCCTCATCAATGTGGTGGGGAGCTGGCCGCAGAAAAACCTGGGCACCTCTGATGGGGACAAGACGGCTGTCTTTTCCCTGACTGTGAGTTTCTGGAGCTGGCCTTTGCTCACCGCAAGGCCGGCCGCCTCTCCAGCAGCTCTGTTGCCTCCTTCCCCCACTGCATCTCCCTGCTTCAGGCACTGGCCACAAACCTGGCCTAGGGGCAGCTTCAGGGCCACCAGGCCCGCTGCTCCCCCTGCGTCTGCCCCGGCCTCTCCCTGCCACGCTCAGGCCCTGCCACACGGACGCCCCGGCACTGAGCGCTGTCTCGGGCTGCTTTGTCCTCTGCAGGCAACTCTGGTGATGTGGAAGATCCTCCAGGGGCCCTGTTGCCCACAGATCCTCACAGTCTATTTCCCCCGCCTCTTTGTGCATCTGCTCTTCCAAACGTACTTCAGTACTTTGTATATGACAGAGGACGTCCATACCTTCTGGAAGGAATGCCAGGAGCAACACGGCCTCTCCACCAGCCCCAACAGGTGCTCCATGCCACTCCTCCTGTCCCTGCCACTTCCCCAGCCTCAGAGCCAGCGCTCCCAGCGTCACCTGGGCTTTGCTGTGCGCACAGGTTTGCAGTGCAGACCCTGAAGGCCCTGCTCTGCAGTCTCCACTTGGAGCATGTGGTGGTGGCAATGGAACGCAAGCGTGGCTGGGACACGCTGCTCTGTGCTGACACCCACCACTATGCCATGGGTCTGCTGGCCAGGTGAGCCCCCCTTCTCCCCACTGCCTCTGACATTTGTGCCCCCTGCCCGGGATGCCCCCCACAGTCCCCGTGGCCATGGGCCTGAGGGCCTCGTCACCGAGGGATGGCCAAGGAGACTGCAAAAGGCTGTGAGAGGAGGGTGCCCAGGAGCAGCCACATCTCAAGGGCCCAAATACCCTCACAGGGTGCTGGGGCAATAGGACAACTGTGTCCATCAGTCCTGGGAGAGGTTTTTCACGCCCTTGCTGAGACTCTTTCTGCCATTTTCTGCCTTCCAGGGTAATGCGCCGTGCATCCGCCCACTTGTGTAAAGGCATCTTAAGCTACCTGCTTGAGGTGCTCAGCAAACCGTTGCCACACTGGGATGTCTCTGCCATGGCATTCCTTGTGGAGGTGAGCCTGATGGCCAGCACTACCTCGCTCAGCTCCCTGCCAGCCCTGTCCCCTGCCATAGCCACAGCTGCCTGGGACGGCACCCGCGCCCTGTGCTGCTGCCTGGGCCCAGCCCTGCGCACTTCCAGGCTCCTGCTGGCCGGCTCCCCTCTCACTGCCCTGTGCCTTTCAGCTCCTAGATTGCCTGGACTTGAGTGACTGTGGTGACAGCCTAATGGAGATCTTGTATAAGTACCTGTGGTACAATTCCACAGAGATGCATCACCAGGTTCTCAGGGCTCTCCTCCTGCTAAAGGACCGTCCCTCCATGGTGAGAAGGGGGCAGCAGCTGAAGCCGTGTGGGCAGCATGAGGCTGGGCAATGCTGTCACTTGGCCTTGGCTGGCCTTTGCCTTGGGCGCTGAGGCAGCTCCTCGCAGCTCTCCTGTCTCCTGCTTCAGCTGCCCGAGTGCTTTGGGACAGCCCTTTGGCCTCTGGGCCCTGCGGCAGCTGCCCGGGCTTTCACACCCTTGTGTTCTGCACAGGCCGAAAGAATTCAGAGCCTGACAGGAAGACTAGTGCACCTCCTGTGGGACTTGGACAGTGACGTGGCCAGGATGAGCACTGCTCTTCTGAGCCATATTTTCCTGAAAGAAGACATCCCAATATCCTGGCGCAGGGCCCTGCAGCTGGCTGAGCCGCTCCTGAAACTCCTGGACAATGTAAGGCTCTGTGCCCCAGCCACGGCCACTGCCTGCTGCCCGGACACTTTGTGCCCTGTGCATTTGCAGGCCTGTGCCAATGTGGGCCACAAGAAGCCAATGATGAGGTCATTTTTCCTTCCTTCCTTTCATACAGCCCCATAGCCAGGTGCAGCTGCTCTCCATGTTTCTCCTTCGAAGAGTGATGTCTTCAGCAGAAGAAGAAGGAAGAAAGCCCCTGAAGGAACGAGTGTACCAGAGCCTGCTCCCACTCTTTTTCCACTGCCAAGATGAGAATCGGCATGTGGCAGAGGTGAGGACTCCTGGGCTGCTGCTGCGCCTTGGCAGGGGGCTCAGCTGCCTCCTGCCCTGACGCAGGCTTGCAGGCTGCAGCCTCCTCCAGCCCTTGGCACTGGGACACTCCTGTGCCCTGCCTTGTGGGGCCATTTGCGGCTCTCTGCTGCTCCCCAGGCCTCTCGGACAACGCTCCTTCGCGCGGCTGACTTCCTGAAGAGGCCAGACCTGGAGAAAGCTGTGAGGAAGGAGAAGCTGTGGAAGTTTGCCAAGCTCGTGGTAAGGACAGCCTGGAAGTCCCAGCCTCAAGCTACAGAAGCCCCCTGGCCCCGGTGCTCAGTGTGTGGGGCTGGCAGCTGTGCCCCTGCCCACTGCTGCAGCCGGGGGCCGCACGGCTTCTTCTCCAGCCCCCTGTGGCCCCGAGCCGGGGCTC